TTTTTTGGGGGGGGGGGCGGGGACTAAGATACAAGGGTGGCTACAGCAGCTTAACAAAATGCCAAATAGAACTAAACCCGGAAACATTTATCCTGGGAATACTTAAAAAGAAATTTGACAGGAAAATAAGGTATTTGATTCTACACATATAAACTGCGGCAAGAATTGCGTTCGCGCAATACTGGAAGGAACGCAATATACCACCAGAGGGATTGTGATCATTCAGAAGATATATGAATGTGCCGAAATGGATAAACTCACTCTAGAACTAAAAGAAAAAGACGATTCGGAATTTTACGCGGTTTGGGGAAAATGGTATACATGGATAGATAACAGAAACAAAAATTGGAAATATACATAAGGCTATTGTGAGTTAGATATTGAATGTATATAGTCTATATATTGTATAGAATGTTGATCTGAAGTATATAAAAATGACACAGTCTGCTGAATATATATTAGGGTTGTATAAAGGAAAATGGTAATAAAAATTATTTTTTAAAAAGAAGGAAGGGGATGGGAAAAGGAAGGGAGGGAGGGAGGGAAGGAAGGAAGGAGATGAGAAAAGGAAGGAAGGAAGGAGATGGCATAGGAAGGAAGGAAGGAGGAGATAGGAAAAAGAAGGAAAGGAAAGGAGGAAAAAAGAAAGGAGGGGAAGAAAGAAAGGAAGGTGTCAGACGGAGCCCAACTTGCTCCCTAGGAAAGAACGACGCTTAACTTCACAGGTTTTAGAGAAAAGGTATTTTTTACTAGAGATGCAGAGTGCAGCATGAGCAAGGCAAACTCTGAAGAAAAAAAACCACGCAAAAATCATCTATTGGAAGCAATATCAGGTTCCTGTTCTGATGTTTTGGGAACGTGGTGCCTCCGACCCACAACAAATGCCTTTCCCAGGGCCTTCCCAGGGAGGGGGGGAGGGAAAGAAGGAAGGGAAGGAGGGAAGGAAGGAAAGGGAGGAAAGGGAGGAAGAGAAGGAGGAAGAAAGAAAGAAAAAGAAAGAAAGAAAGAGAAAGAGAAAGAAAGAAAGAAAGAAAGAAAGAAAGAGAAAGAAAGAAAGAAAGAAAGAAAGAAAGAAAGAAAGAAAGAAAGAAAGAAAGAAAGAAAGAAAGAAAAGGGAGGGAAGAAGGGAAGGAAGGAGCAGAGGAAAAAAAGAAAGAAAGAGGGAGGGAGGGGGAGGGAGGAAAAAGGGAAAATAGGTAAAGGGAGGGAGGGAGAGAAAGGAAATAAACACTGCTTTGGAGCAAAAAAAACCGTAAATCATTGTCAACTGATCGTGAAATACTCCATATAGTTATAAGTGCCGGCCAGTTGCCAAATGCCCAAAATGTGATCATTTGACCATAGGGTGGGGGGTGGGGGAGGGAGGGGAAGCCATTGGAATTTCAGACCCATATCATAAATACCTTTGGGGGGGAGGTCCATTCATCGTATCTTTGAACAGTCGCTAAGCCAATCAGTCGTAAATCGAGGACTGCTTGTAGAGAGATCATCAAAGCTGCTTCCTTTTGGTCCAACCCTCACCCATGGTGGGCTGCAGCTGTTGGGGGGGGAGGAGAGACCCCAGCCTCTAAGGCCAGCTGTCCCCAGGCCCTCACTAAAGGACCTGCAAACCACTGTCTCTTTTAATAACGCGTGTTCATCGGAAATTGGGCTCCTGGGGGGAGATTCGAACCCGGCACCCCTCCTACCACGAGCAGGGAAAAATTGGAAGAACCCTCCCAATTGCACGCCGTTGAGACCCCAAACGGAACCCCTAAACTAGAGGTAGGCAACCTTGGCTCTTTTATGACGTGTGGACTCCAACTCCCAGAATTCCTGAGCCAGCCACGCTGAGGGGAAAGGGAGAGGTTTCCAAGCTGAGCCATGCTGGCTCAGGAATTCTGGGAGTTGAAGTCCACGAGTCATAAAAGAGCCAAGATGGCCTACCCCTGAGTTACTAGGAAGATGAGGGGACTTCAACCCCCAGAATTCCTCTGCCAGCATGGCACCCTCTATCAGGAATAAACAACCTTGGCTCTTTTATGACTTGTGGACTTCAACTCCCAGAATTCCTGAGCCAGCAGGGCTCAGCTTGGAAACTCTCCCTTTCCCCTCAGCATGGCTGGCTCAGGAATTCTGGGAGTTGAAGTCCACGAGTCATAAAAGAGCCAAAGTGGCCTACCCCCGAGTTACTAGGAAGATGAGGGGACTTCAACTCCCAGAATTCCTCTGCCAGCATGGCACCCTATATCAGGAATAGGCAACCTTGGCTCTTTTATGACTGGTGGACTTCAACTCCCAGAATTCCTGAGCCAGCATGGGGAACTATGGCCCCTTCACGACTCGTGGACTTCAACTCCCAGAATTCCTGAGCCAGCCTGCCTCAGCTTGGAAACCTCTCCCTTTCCCCTCAGCATGGCTGGCTCAGGAATTCTGGGAGTTTAAGTAAAAGAGCCAAGGTTGCCTACCCCTGCCCTTAACCATCAATTTTAAAACAGAGAGGATGATGGTTTGTGTTGTTGTTGTTGTTGTTGTTTTTAAATGATTCTGTGGCTTTTTGCAAGGCAGAAATTCCTGGCTTTCCTGGATCTGGTGGTTTGCAAATGTTTGGAATTGCAATCGAAAAATCTAGTCCTAAAACAAACCGTGGTTTGCATGCTCTTGTCCTGGTTTGGCCCCGCCAAGAAATTCAAAATTTTTCCTCTGCGGATTCAAAACCACTTTTGTTTGTCTCGGCACCCACATTCAGAGAAAGGAGCCGGTTAGTGAAGGGCATACAGATGGTCCTCAGATTATGACCGCAATTGAGCCCAAAACTTCTCTTGTTTTTTGTTTTTTTTTTTTTCAAATTTAAATTTTTATTATTTTCATCATAAAAAAAAGCACATCACAAATACATCACAGTGTAAAAACCCTACCCCCCACCCCCCACCCCCGGACTTCCCAAACCTAATCCCAGGATACTATTCAACTAAAAGTAAACTAGTATTAATATCCCTAACTCCACAAAGTATTATTCTACATAAGTAGGTGAAATATATATATATAAAAAAAAAATTATCTAAAAACCTAAATTATATTCCACCATTCTATGCTTATTTTGAATATAAACAATCCATCTTCTCCATATTGATAAAAATTGTTCATTTGAGTGATCCTTCAGATAAGCCGAAATTTTTGCCATTTCAGCAAGATGCGAAACCTTCAATCTCCAGTCCTCCATTGTAGGTAAGACTTTAC